GTATCCACATTATTCGAGAGTGTTAAATCTTGATGGTATCGAGTTTCCAATGTCTCTAAATAAGATCGGACAATTTGAACGTCAGAATAACTTGTCTATTAATGTGTTTACCATTAAAGAAGAGAATTATATAGGGGCAAATTATATTTTGCCACTTCGTCTTACAGCATATAAGAAGGAGATTCACGTTAATCTGTTGCTCATATATGGAATTCGATGTGGCAAAAAGGTCATGCATTTCACGTGGATAAAGAATTTGTCACGCTTAATAAGCATGCAATTGAGCAAACGTAAAGTAAAGAAATATGTATGTGATCGGTGAGTACAATATCTCTCCCTGTCCCTATTTTTTTTTTAATTAATGATACATTAAATGTGCTTTTGTTACAGATGTTTGCATTATTTTTATTCGCAAAGGAATTAGCGAATCATATCATTGACTGCGAAAGTAGGAACGAATGTGCTGTCGTTCTTCCGTCCGACAAAGATAAGTGGTTATTCTTTCGTAATCATCAGAACAAGGAGCGACTTCCGTTTGTCGTATACGCCGATCTGGAATGTATATTAGAGAAAAAGGATAACGAAGAGGAAAGAGAAATGGACAACGATAGAGAGGGGGAGGAGGAGGAGGAGGATGACAACGACGAAGAGCGTCGAGATGACATTCCGCGTAGACGCGCCTATCAACATCATCGTGCGTTTAGCGTAGGATATTACGTTTGCGGCGCGTACAATTACACATCGACGTACAAATATCGTCGCGGTGAGGATTGTGTTACATGGTTCGTCAATGAGTTGCATGAATTGGCTCAACTTGTGAAGTCGATACTCGTTAGTAATGTGCCCATGATCGATTTGACATCTGACGAATGGCACGTTTTTTGGAATGCTGAACGTTGTCACATCTGTAGCGAGCCGTTTGAACCGAACGACGTGCGTGTTCGTGATCATTGTCACTTGACTGGTCGTTACAGAGGCCCTGCGCATTCGCGTTGTAATTTAAATTACAGAGATTCGTATATTATTCCTGTGTTTTTCCACAATCTTTCGGGATACGACGCGCATTTTATTATACGCGATGTAGCCAATATGTTCGAAGGTACTGTTGAA